GTATATGCGAATGAACGTGGATTTTTTGAAAAACGACCGTTCGGGCAATACTTTCAATTCTTCAATCAGCTAAAAATTTGCGTATTTTCAAAAATTCGTTCTCAGCTCGGACTTTAACAGCAATCGTATGTGTAAATGAACGCGGCTTTTTGGAGAGGACCGCTCGACAATACCTTACTTTTTAGTGACCTGGAAATTTGCATTTCAAAAAGGCAGGGAAATTTGATGGAGTACCTCAAACTTTTGATTTTAGTGAACTGGAAATTTGCATTTCAAAAAGGCAGGGAAATTTGATGGAGTACCTCAAAGTTTGATGCAAAAACGTATGATTGCACCGGCTCGCCTGGTGCGTTCCAGCCTGGGTTTTGGATGTCCATACGCGAGATCTAGGTACGTATGAGAGATCTTAAAACGGGAAGGTGCCACACAGGGTGGAAATGTGTCCTCAAAATTTCAGCTTCCCAGCTTTCCTGGTTGCTGAGTTGAAAGTGGGTGACAAAGTCCACTCGCTTCCGAACACATATACGGCGACCTGTCGACAATATGCATTTTTGCTGCGCGGCAAAAACGCATAAAAAATGTAAAGAACTAGGCAATTTTTTGCAGTGGACGTCCATGAATTTCTTCCTAGCCAATTTGGCTGTTTCTGATCTCCTTGTGCTTTTGGTGTGCCTTCCACCGACCGTTATTAACGATATCACGAAAACATTCTGGTTCAGTTCAACGCTTTGCAAAGCAATTGTTTTTTTCCAGGTTTGCTACCTTTCAGTTTTGGCTAAACTCATGAAATTTTTCATAAATTTTTAACGATATTCCACTAATTATTATGCTTAGACGGAGGCATTGGGGTTCTCCCGGTCTATCCTCTTGATGGAAGTAATGTATAAGGGATGGTAGGGGAAGGAGGACGTAACCGGAATGACAAGTGGTATAGCTGTGTCGCTCGACAAGGCCAGTTCTTCTACAACTCGTTCATTCACTTCTATCGTAAATTGGTACTATCACATCTGGTTGCTCTCAGTTGGGCCTCATCTTACAGGGACTTAGTATGCAAGGGATTTTCATTTCTGATTAATACTTTTAGTAATATTACACAAGTTGAAGCGGATTCAGTCCGGCAAGTTCTAACAATGATGTTTCAAAATCACAATTGTTTAATTGTGTTT